GAGATTCAGCCTTGTAAACCTTCACTATAAGGCACACGGAACCCGTCTTCCCCCCCCCCTTTGTATAAAACCCCATAATATTCTCCCCAGACATGAGACCGCCTGGCGTGTCAACAGCCTGCAAATCAGAAGTGTGGGCTAGGATTGGGGGGAGAAATCATCCTCATTTGGAGAAGGAACCTTGACGCCGTGGCGCGCCCCCCTCCGCGCGCGCATTGGATCTGAGCGCTTTGCCCACCACCAAGGTCACGGGAAGGGGGTTGCCTGCCTCCTTGGGGAAGGTGACCCCCTTCTGCCCCCGGGCAGCTTTCGCCAAGCTCGCCTTCACCATCCTCGTCCCCACCACCGCCATCATCACCCCCCCCTCTTTCCCTACCGTGAGGGAAAGAGCAAGCCCACCTCCCCATCTCCCGTACCTGATAAGGCGCCTCGCCTTCCCTTGACATCTCAACTATGCCAGGATGCCCAGGTCCGCCTTCCCGTCACTTCCAGGAGCCCAAGGTAACTTCGGATGGATGGGTCCCTCCTCCTCTCCTCGCCCTGCAGCTCAGAGCCCTGCCTGGCATCGCCTCCTCCCGCAAGCTTCAAAAAGAGGCGCAGGCAGGAATCGGGGCGCCCGACACCGGCTGCCTCCACCTCCTTCCCTCCCGGCATCCAGGCTCAGCTTTGGGCAAGACGAGCCCCGCATCTTCCCGCACCAAATACACACACACATGCACACCCTCCTCCTTCCCCTCCATTCCCCCTACCTTATCCCATTCCCGAATCCAGAGCCAGCAGCTCTTGGTCCCTTCGCTCCAGCTCCTCCTTCCCCGCTTCCCCGCGGCGGGGAGAGTCTGGCTCGCCGCGTCCAGACCAGCCGAGGAGGACGCTTCCGAAAGGAAGACGGACGGGGAGGGGAGAGGAGGGGGGACGCTAAAAAAAACAACAAAAACAAACGAGGAGACCAGCCGCGGGATCGCTTTCCAGCCGGGCTGCGGAATTCCTTCACTGCCGGGCAGAGCGAGAGAGCGGATGAGATGCCCTCCGCCTCCGGACGCGCCGCCTTGCCTGCTTGCTTTCCTTCTTCCTTGGCCAGATCGGCGAGGCTGGTCGCTTCGCCGGCGGTTTCGTCTTTTTCCCCTCTCCCTTCCAACCTCAACTGGCAGGAGAGCAGGGCTGGGAGGGAGGGAAGGAGGAAGGCACCTCCTCCTCTTCCTCCTCCTCGGGCACCTCCTCTCCTTCCCTTTTTTCCCTTTCTTTCCTAGGGAACGTACATGGCAATCGCTCGCTTTCCTGCGTCCACCCTGGCTCTTCGCAGCCTCCTCCTTCTCGCTAGGTGACCGAGAGACGCAGCGGGTTCCCCGGTCTCTTTCCCGGGTCGCTCGGAAGTCTCTCTGAAAAACAAGCAGCAGCTTCTGCCTTCTTCTCTCCCCCCCCTCTTCCGCCACTTGATCCGGGCCAGTCCCCCCCACCCCCACTTCCCTGTCTAGTCACTAAGCCAAGGAGGGAGGGAGGGAGTGCAGACTGGACTGGAAAAGTAGTGGGAGGGAGTCGGGGAAGATTCCTGGATGGTCCCACCACCCATCAGCCTTGGCTTCCTTGCGCAAAGATGGTGCATCCATCAGCCTCAGTTGCAGCAGCTTTAAAATGGGAAGAGAGACGCTGCAGTCCTTGGCTTACTGAATGGGGAAGATGGCCTCGATGTTGACCTTAGATCTTCAGGGGTTTCTTGTATTCTTTCACTGTCTGGTTCTTGCAGGCACCAGCCATAGCCATCACCAAGAGCTCTGCCTCACCTGGCTCAATGGGATGTACACTTCAGGTAAGTACAATGTGATGTTCTATGCAGAAGACGGGGGGGGGGAGAATCTGTATCCTAGAGATGAACATCTCTGGCTCAGCTCCTCCCATCTCCATGAAAAAGATACCACTCTGATCTATCCTGCTTTTGGAAGCTAAGCAGGGTAATAATGCTTGGTCACTACTTGCAAGGGAGACCACCAAGAACCACCAAGGGTTTCCAGTTAGGGCTAGGTAAGAATCCTGCCTGAAATCCTGGAGTACTGCTGTGAGTGAGAGCTGACCAGACAGGCCTCGATTGTGCGAGTGGCCGGACTGCACAACTGGTTGCACAACTGCACCTGCAGAACCTCTTCCTGAGTATGACTTCCAAGGATTGAATGGGTTGCGCAACTTCAAGTTACACCGACATAACTGCTCAACAGGATTTTGGCCGTCGTCTGTATCCCTGGGAAAGGTTCCTGATTAAAATCCCAATTGCTGCCAGTTGGGGAAAGCAGAGTTAGGGTTAGATAGACAAACAGTCCCAGCAGGTGTGTAATGCAGCTTTCTGGAATGCTAACCAAATACGGGCTGGAATACAGAAGGACATTTACTCCCATCTTTTGAGAATGCTTTTGAAAGAAGAAACAATAACCCCGCTTGGCATGCAGCTCCTGGAGCTTTTCAAGCCAGTTCACAGACATTACCTCAGCAATCCTCACAACAACATAGGTTGGCCCATTTGCCCTCCTACTGCAGAGGGGTGCTGAGAGATAAAGGCTTCACATGGATACCTACTCAGCAGGCACTGTGGCAAGAGTTGAACTGGGGACTTGGCAGTTCATGCTCTATCTTGCCATTTCTTCTTCACCATCTTTTTTTGACAAGCTGTTGTCCTTGGCTCTCAACACAGCCAAAACTTTGGGCCTTTGGAAAAAAAGGGAACTTTGATATTCAACAGCGTAGGACTGAACCGAGTCATTTTGCTGCCTGAGGCAAAGATCAAAATGGAACACGTGCATGCACGCATGCACAACACACCATGTCCAAGCAGGGGGCCAGTGACTCATTTTGTGGGTGCAATACCTTTGCTCTGAATTTTGGTCCGAACTTTAAAAGAACTATCCAAGGCACTGCAGCCTACCTCTAAAATAGGTTCAGGACCTTAGACAGCTCCTGTAAAGTTTGCAGTGGGTTCATGACCCCTGGGACATTGGCGTCACCTCTACTGCTCTCCTACATGAAGGACGTGACTGAGTTGTGGCTTGAAAGGGGGCAATGGAAGAGCACCTTCCACCACACGTGAAGTCAAAAGACCAGTTTGCAGGAGTCAGACAAGCTAGGAGGCACATGTTATTCTGACTTCCAGCATAGCACATCACCTGACTCCTAGCATATGAAGCAATTATCTCACTTTACCTAATGACAGGACTGGCCCTTCAACGGCTGTAAATTTAGAAGTGACACATGTTAGGCACAAAGCTGCTTGATCACATCATGCTACTAAGTGGAAAGATGGAGGAGACTAAACCTGTTTAGGTTGCTCAAGTGGGAAAGAATGACAGAGTAAATCTTCTCTTTCCAAGCAAAACAAAGCAAAGCATGCTGCTCATATACAGGCCCATTGTGCTTAAAGCACGCTCTGGATGGTTTACAAATTAATTACACAGGTTACACATTGCCCCTGACCCCCAGCACGCTGGGTCCTCTCAATCTACCAACCTCAGAAAGATGGAAGGCTGAATCAAGAGCGAGCTACGTAGGCTAGGACTTTGGTCGTGAGAAGAATCTGGGTTGCAGTACTGCAGTTTTACCACTGCATCATGAAGCCCAATCCAAAACACCTTATGAAACCTTGCTGATCTCCAGGATGATCAAGGATGATGAAAAAGATCTCCAGAGATGCAGTGAGTGAGTTAATTTTGTGCTGTCAAGGGAGAACTGACTTATTGCAACTCTAATAGTTCTTTCAAGATAAGCGAAATATTTAAGAAATGGTTTTACCAGTTCTACTCCCCCAGTGAATTTCCATGGCCAAGTGGGAATTTGAACCCAGGCCTCCTGAGTTCTAATCTGTCACTCTGTCCACAACACCACACTATGTAAGAGAACCACAGAAGAGGTTGCTAAGATGCCAAGGTTATTCACCCGTTAAACACTCTCATAGTCAAAATATGAAGCTCAGAACACTCAAGAAGGAAATAACTGCACCATGGATATGTACATGCAGAGTGAAGGAATCCAGCTGAGATTTAGCATCACCAGCTATGTTATAATGCATAATATTCATTACCTTCTACGCTGAAGGAGCAATGGGAACAGTCAAAACATTAACATGAAGTGTTATTATCTATAGCAAAACCATTTCTATTCAAACTCTCCACCCAAAAGGAATATCGTTTGCAATAATCTGAACAGTGATATCATCCTAAAATCACTAGATATACATACAAAGACACGGAGAAGCGAAAACATTACACAAGAAAGTAATGTGAGCCAAGAGTAAAAACAACAGCTCAAACTGTAATAATAATACTGAGAAGTTTGCTTTCGTGTATTTCTCTCTCTCCAGGCTTTGATTCCTAAAGAAAGTCAGCTCTTAGAGATCTGTGTTAGCTCTTATTTCCTTGCTTTCTCTCCCTCCTCCTTTCCTCTGGACAACAAAACTAGAAGACAAATCTTGATCACTAACATCTGGTGATTTTGCATGCCTGATATCCATTTCTCTGCCTCTCCGCCCATCCGTCCATCCCCATCTATCCATATGCTGCTTTGCTCCCAAACTAGGGACCCAAGACAAAATGGCATGTGAAATGATGTTATAATCTTAAATATTAAAAATACAGTTAAGCCTCCAGTGCTATTAAAACATCCATAGACTTACAATTTTTTTAAAAGGCCACAAGGGAAAAAGAAAGATAATTTCAAAGAAATTAAGTGAAAAGGGCAACATCCTCTGTTAAAACCTATCTGGGAGACCTGATCAATGGCCTCCAGTCTGCTGCAAAAGAAAGTTTTTTCTTTGCCAGAAAAAGGCCAGATGGGAGGGAGTCACGCCAGCCTCCCACAGAAGAGAGTTCCACAACCACGGAGCAACCACTGAGAAGGCCCTCTGTTGAGTCCTCACCAAGCACGCCGGCTAAACAAGCCCATACATACAGTATGCATACAAACTTTCAGAACAGAGCGATTTCAACATGCCTTTTACTCTGAATTTTTTGGGACAGCTTTTAGCAAACCTTTCATTCCTCCTCTTCTTCCTCTTTCTTCTTTTTCTTCTTCAAAGCTAGCTTCCACTTGACTTCTAATTACAGGACATACCTGCATATTAAACCACATCTTCCTGACTTGGTGTCCTCTCCAGATCAGTATTCTGAAAGGGAGTTTCAAGACACATGGATATGATGACATGTTCAAGCCTCCCATAACTGAGCAATGATATGGTGATATTTTGGGACCCAAAGCATCATCCTTCTACTATTCATTTATGAGCAGCTTTTGTTTCTTGTTATGTTCATTTTTCTCAAAAGTAACTTTCCAGCTTCAGCTCCAAATACAAAGGACTACAACTTCTATCGTCCCTAGCCACCACACCTAGACTATGTTGGCAAGAGATTATGGAAACTGCACTTCTTCATGTCTGGAGGGCACCAAGACACTTCATGTCTGGAGAGCCAACTTAAACAAAAAGAAGCTGATTTCTCCAGCATGGGTGTAACTACAATATGACTATAATCAGTGCCCAATCGTGTCATTCTTATAACACAAGTTCCTTTGCAGTGGATCAAAATTATGTGCAAAGGTGAAATCTGGCATGTGTATGTGTATGTGCACGCAGATCTTATCGAGTCAATTTTGACTTACGATGACCCTTTTTCAGGGTTTCCCAGGTAGAGAATACTCAGAAGTGGTTCATCGTTCCCTTCTTCTGGGGGCCATCCTGGAGCTGTGCAGTTTGTTCAAAGGCCACACAGGCTAGCTCTTCTGGAAAGCACAGTGGGGAATCAAACTCCCAACTACTAGCTACATGAGCAGATTCCTGACTCACTAAGCTATGCAGCCAGTTTGGCTCACTGATAGTGCTGAATACATTGCTTATCCCAGCTAGACCCACTGAATCAGTGCGGTTTACACAAATATTGGCTTAACATTCACCGATGGATTGAATGAGTTTATTCAAACTGGGTCTAGGAGGTGGAGAGACATGGGCACTTCATAGTGGTTGGCTGCATGGAGAGGTGGGGAAGGCCTAGCTGGGCTCCTTCCCAGATTGGAGCGTCAAGGGCTGTCGAAGGACCCCTGCACTGCACAGAGCCTGGTGAGTTCTGGGGGTGGTGGGAAATGGACCACCACGACTTCTGTGGTATAATGTGAAATATTGTCCATGTCTAGAGGTGAGCGTAGGCCATAATTTCCAGTTGT